CTGGTGTCTATGCAGAAGGAAAAAAATGAGAAAAATCGAGACAAAGCACCTTTTTGATGCTGAGCACAAAAAGCCAGGAGTGAAGTTGTCTTTTGTGAAGCCAAATTCGACTCGAGATTTACCTAATATGATTTGACTGTACTGAATTCACCGAATCGTGGCACCATGTGGTTTGGGAATGCGACAAGATAATATCGTGTTAAAGCAGGCTATAACCTATCCAAATTAATATTTCTCGTTGATTGTAACAAAATGCTTACCTTCTGCAAAAGCAGAGCAATCGCCATCAACTTCTGGAATGACTGAACAGGCCCCCAAGCATTTCTCGGAAATCTTCGCTTCGACGCAACACTGCAATAAGGTCTTTTATTACGATTAGTAATACTGGGCAATAGAAGCAGTTGGAATCTTCATTCATTTCATTCACAGTAATGATTCTAGAAAGCTGCTGGCTCGACGGCACCTGTTCATAGTTGCATTAAAAAGGCAAAACCTGTAGTACGAAACGAGGTGTGAGTGGCAGGGCAGCCTTAGCTATATTCAACTCAGCTTCTTTCCAAACTTCCACACCATTTGCACCAGTTGCTTTGCAGCTATACACACCATCACGATTCGTCACATTCTTCACCTGAACACCTGTGACATATATTGCAATAAACCAGCAATGAATTTGAAAGAAATTAAAAAGAAATATTATAATTTTTTGAAGAGTAGTCTACAAAGTACTAGATGTAATTAAACCAGTTGCAAGAATTTCCAGTACTTTTCTCTCCCCGTTCCGTCTAACAGGTGCACCCTTAGAAAAAATACTCTAAAATTTCAGCTCGCAACAGTCATTTTCACCTTTAGAACTTATTCAGCATGATATTCATGTGCAAAGAATTTGATGATTCAGCCAGCAACTTATTCCTCCAACCTTTTGACCAGGGGTTATTAGGTGAATGCTACGAGTTATCACCTACTCATTCGCTCAAATTTGAAATATTCACTCGGTTTACTGGATTATGCAAAATATGGTCCAAAATTCGCAGCAACTCACGAATGTTTATCTCACGCCAAATGCCTGCTTTTTGGAGGTTTCGGAGGGTTACAGTGACAAAAATGCTTTGTATTTTCGCCAATGTGGACAGAGAGAAATGCGAAACTATGACCAGAACCCCTCGCATCTACTTAAACGGAACAATTTTGGAAATTTTTGATTTTGATAGGGTTTTGAAGAGATTGAAACTACTGTTAAACTGCAAAGTTTTATGAGAGTCACTGGAATTCAGTTTGTGGCAGCTTTTTCTTTGAGGAATTTTAAACAAAGTTACTGATCTCTTAAAAAAATGCACGCCGCATGATTTTTTTCCTCGGATAAACTTTCGCATGACAACGGCTTGGTTTTGTTTAGCTCCTGCGTAAAAATCCTGATTATCGGAGCTCGTCGGGCTGGCATCCAAAGTACCGCCATGTATGTGAAAAGAAGGCAGTATCCTCTAGGTAGGCGATACTGTCCGCTTTGTTGGCAGCTGTTGTAGGTCGCTTCTCAGTGAGCGATAATCGAAACAAAATTTTG